ATTATTTCCCAGTTTGCAGATGACACCAAGTTAGGTAGGGTAGTAAATAGTGAAGAAGATTGTGACGGACTGCAGGCAGACATGCACAGAATGCTGGAATGGGCTGACATGTGGCAGATGGATTTCAGTGTAGATAAGTGCGAGGTGATACACTTAGGTAGGAAAAATGATAGAAGGCAATATAGGCTTGGTAGCTCAATCTTAAAGGGGGTGAACGTGCAGAGAGATCTGGGCGTTCAAGTAAGCGATTCATTGAAGGTGGCAGAGCAGGTAGTTACGGCAGTAAAAAGGGCATTTCGTGTACTGTGCTTCATTGGTAGAGGCATGGAGTATAAGAGTAGGAAGGTTATGCTTAATCTGTACATAATACTGCTTAGGCCTCAGCTGGAGTACTGCGTCAAGTTCTGGGCACCTTACCTCAGGAAGGATATTCAGGTACTGGAAAGGGTGCAGAGGAGATTCTCGAGAATGGGGAAGCTTAGCTATGAGGACAGGCTGGAAAGTTAGGACTTTTCCCATTAGAGCAGAGATGGTTATGTGGGGACCTGATAGAGGTCTTCAAGATCATGCAAGGTTTCGATAGGCGAGACAGGGAAAATCTGTTTCCGCTGGTAGGTGTGTCTGTCACTCGTGGTCACAGTCTTAAGATATCTACCAAAAGAAGCAGAGGGGAGGTTACAAGAAATGTTTTCACTCAGCGAGTTTAGAATTTAGAATGATCTGCCTGAAAGGGCAGTGAAGTCCGATTCGACAACAGCTTTCAAGAGAGAACTGGTGGTAATGGCTGGGGCTTGAGAGATACAGGGAGGGTTTTTGTCGGAAAGTGTTGATGACAACAGTTTTGAGGGCGGCAGGGAATGATCCGGAGGAGAGGAAATTTATGATTCACGAAAGAGGGGCAAGTGAGGGTGCGGGGTACCCAGTAAGTTGGAGTGGGAGGAGGCCGTTTGTGCACATGTACTGTGGCGGTGTGAGGTAGGACTCGACTGTGAGTGCGGATAGGTTGAGAAAAGGTGAGGCGATGGGTGATCGACGTTCGAATGGTCGGAGAGTTCCGGTGTACAAAGGAAGCCTGGATGCGTTGTGAGCATAGCTCGCATGGCCAACGAGTTGAGTGGTGGAAATGTGCACAGTTTGTTTGCGGACGGGTTTGAGTTTTCTGGCGGAGGAGGCAATAGTGCTATCGTTTAGCCAGGCTGACACCTTTGCGGCTGATAATTCAATCTATAACCAGATGTGTGTAATGTAAGAAATCATGTTGGAATTGAGTGGAATATTATTCTCTGATGCAAGCGTTTCACCTTCAGCTGGTTACACTTAAACAGTAACCTTTGCACTCGCACTGGATTCCCAAAGCCTTGGCTCTTCCCATGCTGCACCCAGTATCTCTGTAATTGTGTAAGCTGTTTGGGAGCCCCTGTAGTGAGGTCGTGTCTCCTGTTCTAGACAGGGCGAATTGCATGTGCAAATGGGTGCATATGTGGATCTCTCAGGTGATTTAGGCAAGAGAACAACAATAATTTGCATATATGCATAGTGACGTCTGGGATATTGTCAATATACATAGATTGTAAATATTTTTCACAATTATCAAATGATGATAAAATTGCTTAACGAAGCGTTCCCCTTTGCTTTAAATGGGACACCATGTTATGTTCTTGAGCATTATACTTTTAGCGTGTACAACCGCCTGTACCAAGAGGAGGAATGATGGTGTTCGCAGTGAAGATGACAACTCCGCTAATATACAGGATTGAAAACATTTACCACCCGATTCTTGTTGCTGTTGGAGTTCCTGGCAAGTGGTTTAAATCATGTTTTAAATTAATATGCAGCAACGTTTGCAGCCTAACTATGTTTAGACTCCCCCTCTGAATGAGCAAGTTTGTGCTCTCGCCCTATATAACGACACGTAGACTAGTGGCTGACATTCAAATAAAATGCAAGGGGATGAGTTCCACTATTAGAACTGCGGTATTTAGAATATAATATTTCGGTATAAACAGATGGCTGGTTATAGAGATTTTATATAGCGTAAGAAACTATATTCTTCCTATTGATATCGCGCTTTAACATGTCGTTTATGGTGTTACGTCATCAAACTTGTTGCATTTTCAAAAAGGCGTTGACTTTATCATTGCCCATTTTTTTTTCATTTCAATTAGTGGTGTATAGTCTTTAACATCTTACCAAGTTCTGAGGCTGGTTGCCGTGCTTTGCGTTGTCTGGAAAGCGTGATAAGGTGCTCTATCAAAAAGGCAAATTTTCAGACTGGCACTGTTGGTAGCATTCTACCTTCTGATTCAGAGTTGTGAGGTTTAGTAACATGCCCGGGCGTTGACAGTTCACCGGAGCCTGACACTCAACACCAAAAACAAATTATATTTGTGTAGCGCGTTTCAAGCAGTGCAGCGTCTCAGAGCAATTAACAGTGGCGGAATATAACTCCAAATCAGAAAGAGAGTTGGTGACAATAAGCACTGTCGAAAACGAAGTCGGGACTTAGATAAGGGGAGAGAAGGAGAAAAGCGAACGGATGGAGGTGAGGCTGTTCCAGAATTTCGGGCAAACTGTGAAGTAAATTAATAACAATTATTTGAATCTATCTGTTGACTAAATTGAAACTGCAGTTCAAATTAAATAATCAGCTGAGTGCTAGACACGGCAGTTCAGCCATTGATCGTTAATTCAAGACACGGAACTGTGCTTTCATTACTGGTTGACAGATTTTGATTTAAAATGTGATTGAAAACAGGCTTTCAGATTCAAAAGCATCAATTGGTATATACATATATATATACATATATTACACAGTGTGCGTGTGTAGAAAGCCCCGAAATGCAGCTAGTATCAGTTTTAACCTGTATTTTTTGTGTCACCCTCGCCCAGTTGGTTGCACTCTCGCCTCTTGTCAAAACTTAGTCCTGTGCAGTTCTGTAGTGCAGTTGTAAGAGCACTCGCCACGCCGCAGGAGGATCCCGTTTCAATTCCCTGGCACGACGGAACGTTTGCAAATATCCTTCCTCCACAGACAGTTCTGTTTATGTAGGAACCCGATTGTTTGTCGTTCGATGGTTCGCATTCGCTGGGATAATAATCTGTTCAAAATAAATAAAAATATATAAAAAGCAATAATAATTTGGTCACTAAATTTGGACTGGTTGTCAGACACCGCTGTGCGTTATTGGCGACCGCGTTTCGTCCACAAAATGTATATTTCACAGATTATTCTGTGATGTACTTTGAAACGTCTCGAAGACGTGATACTGCGATATATCAAATGCCGTGTTTATTATTATTAAGGCTGTGGGATGAAGACCACACAAGCAATATTTGGTGTGTCGCTTCCAGAAAAATAACCTGTAAGAGCAACATACAAATCATATGGTTTTAATTTTGTAACGGCTTTGCCTAATTTCATATTGCTTAGTTACATGTGAAAATTCATACGTATTGTGAACACTAGTACAGACTCAGGAAAACAGAGACCACCAACAAGAGCTCGCTCGATTCTGTCAGTCTTTTACCAAAGACATCACCTGGGAGCAAGATGATCTCCAAAGAGACAGTGGATTCATCCACAAACCCTTCCAAGATTGATAGTGAGATACATATGAGCAGAGAGAGGCACAAATAGAGAGATGTAATAACCAAAACGTTGCGTTTCATACAGTGCCTTCTAATGTTGTTAGGAAGTTTCAAAGGACTTGAAAGGATATACTGCATAATGACTCCGCATTTTTCGAGCAAGACAATGCAGAAAATTGCGCCCAACATTTTCCTATAGATATTCCTGTGTTCAGTGATATTAATCGATTTTAACCTCGAAAGTAATCTGCCAATGTACGTTTATCAGCTTTCTACTTGCCTCATTGGGGAAGGTAAGCCATGTCTCCGTGGATCTGAGATAGCCCTAATATGACATACCTGGTAACGCAATGTTAGAAGCGAGCTAGCTCTTTTTGGTAATCTCTGCTTCCTGGTTCATGGGCCAGGAGGGTCTGCAGTATTCCAGGGTAGTAATGACAGCATAGTCCACCTTGTCTGATCGGCAGATCTGGAAGTGCAGACCTGTCACTGGGAGGTGGGAATCCTGCCATTCAGGGACTGAAAATCAAAGTCTTCATGGTTAGAGTTGTCCTGGCCGGCCTGACAATGGGAAACCTTGGCAAATTGTGCAATTCATAGCAAGTTGTGTTGGTTTAGATTGTTAGACTCCTCTTTGTAACTTTCCATGTCTCATTGTATCTATCCCTCTGTTTATCTGTGTGTACTTCGTTCTGTGTGTCTCTGTGTACCTCTCTCTTTCTGTCTATGTCGCTCTATATTTGTCTCCGTGTGTGTTTATGTGTAAATCTCTGTCTGTGTTTGTGTCCGCCACTCTGTTTATCTCTTTCTGTTTCAGTGTTTCTCTCCGTCTCTCAGTGAACACCCCTCTCTGCCGAAGTGCACTTCGCCATCTCTCCGCAACATCTATGTATTTGATCCCTGTATTTCTCCCTCTCTGTCATTTTGCGTCTGTCACTTTCTGTGAGCCTCGCTATATATATCACTCTTTTTGTGCTTCTATGTCTCTCCCTCATAAAACCTGTGGCTGTGTGTGTCATTCTCTGTGTGAGTGTATCTCATTGCCTTCGTTTCTCTGTATAAATCGCTCTGTTGATTTATATATGTATCAACAACAACAAGATTCCACTTATAGAGCGCCTTTCACGTCAGGAGGACGTCCCAAGGCGCTGCACAGTTGGGTCATGACCCGAGCAGGGGGGAAATGGTCAGGGTGAGGGGAGGGAAGGGAGGGAGAGAGGAGGGGGGAAATGGTCAGGGTGAGGGGAGGGAAGGGAGGGAGCGAGGAGGAGGAAGAGAGTCGAGAGGGGAGCTGAAGGCACGGTCAAAGAGAAAGGTTTTGAGACCGGCCTTGAAGGAGGAAAGGGAGGAAGCGGCGAAGGCACTGGGGGATGGAGTTCCAGAGCCTCGGGGCAGTGTTTTTATTGCAGATGCGCTCCAGAAACCCACCATTTCCCTGGAGCCAAATTCCCGGGTGTTTGTGAGAGGGGAAATGGCTCAGATCTCGTGTTCAGGGAATTATCGTGGCAGCAACTTCTCTTTATACAGAGACGGCGAGTCTATCACATCACAACCAGCTCCAGGGAATAGCAACGCGGCCACGTTCCCCCCATCGGAGATTAGGGCAGGAAATCACTGGTGTAAATATACTACACTCGTGGGCGGCCGAGAGCTCACATCACCAGAGAGCGAGCGAGTGGCCATCACTGTGCGGGGTAAGTGCGAGGGTCTGGACTCTCTCACCAATGCTCACTCGCTGTCCACTCCGGTCCAATAAAAGCAATGACAGCTCCACTCCACTCTCCCCTCTTTCCCCTTCCTCCTTCCTCTTAATCAATTAAATAATTCCTCTCTTTCCACACGCTCTGTGAAACGAGTCTCTCCCCGTTCCTCCTTCCCTCTACACCCTCGATTCATCCCTTCTTCTCTCGTCACCTCACCCCCTATTCTTCCCCACACACCTTTTATTCCCCCTCCCTCCCACACACCCTCCCACACTCTTCCTCCCAATCCTCTATTCCTCTCTCCCACCCCACCCACTATTCATCCTTCCCTCCCTTCTACCCTCACCCTCTTCTTCCCCCCCACATCCTTTATTACTCACTCCGTCCCACACTCTTCCTTCCAACCCTCTGTTCCTCACTCCCTCCCTCTCACACCATATATTCCTGACTTCCTCCCACACCTTCTATTCCCCTCTAACCCACTCCCTCTGTACCCTCTATTACCCTCTCCCTCCCTTCCTCCGACACCCTCTGTTGCGACATCCCTCCTACATACTCCCTCCCACATGTTCCCTGCCTCCCAGAGCCTCTATTTCCCTCTCCCGCCTGTAAATGTCTGGCTTCCTCTTGAATGGCTCTACGCTGTCTGATTGCACCCCCACTTTAGGCAGTGAGTCCCACCACCTCATGCTGTGTGAAATTGTTGCTCCTGAATTCTCTGTTTGATCCCCTGATGTGATCTTATACTGTTGTTCATAAAACATCTGAAGATCACACAAGAATTTCAGACTGAATTCCCGTTCTCCCGTCCCAGGCTGGAGCTTTGTGTTACCCCAGTCCGCGGCCTCACCGCCATCCTTGTCCACCCCATTCCCAGCCGTCGCTCCCCCTCTCTCTGTGTAAAGGAACACTTGCTGGGTTCTGTCCTGAACCTTCCCCTCAAGTCCTCACCCGTGTCCTGACACCACTCCAGGCTGAGAAACAAGCAAATGTTTATTTTTACTCTGATCTGAGCTGTCTTCATATCACCGAGCGAGCCTTGTGAGTTTATATTGACTGTGTTTTAATTCCAGATCCGCTCCAGAAACCCAACATTTCTCTGAAGCCAAATTCCCGGGAGTTTGTGAGAGGGAAAAGCGCTGAGATCTCATGTTCTGGCAATTATGTTAGCAGCAGTTTCTCTTTATACAGAGACGGCGAGTTTATCATATCACAAACAGCTCCAGAGAATAACAAGACAGCAATATTCACCATATCCGAGATCAGTGCAGGAAACTACACCTGTAACTATACTACTGTTATAGACGGCCGAGAGTTCACATCACCGGAGAGCGAGCGATTGGGAATCTCTGTGTCGGGTAAGAGCTCAGTAAAATCTCACACCATAACCTGTTTGTCTCTTGACCACTGACAGCAGCTCCTATTACAACCACTCTTTGCACCATCGATCGTATTTCCATGTTATCCCCGCACTCCCCATTTCGCTCCCTTTTTTGCTCCCTCTCACTACACTCCCCCGTCTACCCCCTCTTTAACCCCCTCTCTCTCTGCCTCCCAGACTCTCACCGCTCCCCCTTTCTCACCCTCTCTCAGCATTTCTCCTCCTCTCAAACAGCTCTTCCTGTTTCTCCCACTTCCCCACTCCACCTCGCCTCTCCCCTCTCTCCCCGTCCCCCTTATTTCCACCCTCTTAGCCCACTCTTAATCACCCTCTCGCACGTCCACCACACTCTCCCCACTCTCTCCCCCCTCTCCTCAATCTCCCACCCTCTCCCTCCTCTCTGCCCCTTCCATCCCCTTCTCCCCATCTCTCCCCTCTCTCCCCCTCCTCTCTCGCTTCTCCCTTTTCCCGTGTTCTCCCCTTCCACCCCTCTACACCTCATTACCTCTCTCCCCCCTCTCTCCTTTTTCTCCCACACTTGTCCTTGCACTCCATCTGTCTCTCTTCGCCTCTCTCACCATCTGCCCCATCTGTACCACCATGTCCCCCCTCTCCCATCCCCTCACTAGCACCTCTATCTATACCCATCTCCCCACTTCACTATCTCACTGACTAACACTTGCCCCGCACTCCCTCCCTCGCCCTCTTTTCTCACACCCTTTCCCCCATCTCTCACATCTCCGTCCCTCTCTCCCTCTCCTCCCCCATCTCTCCCCTCTTCCCCACACTCCCTCCCTCTCTCCCCTCTTTCTCCCCCTATCCCCACCTCTCTCCCTCCCTCTTCCATCCTCTCTCCCATCTTTCCCCTCCCTCTCTCCTTGCCACTTCTTGCTCCTTTTCCTCACTCGCTCACCCCTCCACCTCCTCTCTCTTCATCGCTCTCCCTCGCTCTTGCACGCGCTCCTCCTCCTATCTCCCTATCTTCCATTCTCTCTTCCTCTCTCCCCCCTTCTCCCCCTCTTTCCCACCATCTCGCCTCTCTCCCTCCCTCTCTCCCACTCTGTCCGCCACGGACTCCCCATCTCCCCACATTTCTCTCCCACTCTAACACCCTTCTCCCCACACTCTCTCCCCCTCTCTCACCACCCTGTCCCACTCCTCTTCCAGCCCTTCTTCCGAGTGTGCGTTGAGGCAGCTGCTGGAGATTAACCAACAAAACCGCATAGCCAATGATTGATAGAGAGCGCTGTCTGGCAAGCGCTCCTGGTGCTGGTCCAGCTTGGATCTCCCTCCCCGTTAGTGAGGGCTTTTGTTTTTACAGGGTTAACAAAAGCTGAGTGTGAGGATTCCCTGCCCCCAGTGACTGGTCTGAGCTTCCAGGTCCAACCGATGAGCCGGGCCGGGCTGTGCTGTGCATAGCAGTGAGTGCCAGGGAATATACCGGACCCGCCTGGCTCAGGAAGCGGACTAGCGTCCAACCAGAGTGTACTCGACTCTGATATTCCAACTCCACTTCTACCCTCACCCCCACCCCCCCGATTAGGTATCACCATGTCCACCCCCACCCCACCGATTAGATATCACCATGTCCATTTACTTTACCGTGAGATGTTCAATCACGCAGCAGTGCGGGTTAAGGAAGGAAGTGCTGTTTATTTTGCTTATGTCGACTTTCAAAATGCGTATAATGTGTTCCCAAAACATAAAATTATTAGCCAAATTGAAGGCCGTAGGATTAAGGGAGCAGTAAGGCAACATGGATCTGACATCGGCTGAAGACCCGAATAGAGGGCAGTGATGAGCAGTTGTTTTTCACGCTGGAGGAAAGTATATAGTGGAGTTGGTGCACAGGCTGGTGAAACGGGCAGAAACAGGGTAGAAGCTATTGAATGCAGAGCAGCGTGGAGTGATGCATTTTCAATGGAGGAACGAGCAGAGGCAATCAATATACGTTAAATGGTACAGTTTTAAAGGGGGCGCAGTCACAGAGAGATCTGGGGTTCACACATGCAAATCTTTCAATTGGTTAGGACGGGTTGGGGGACGCTACTAAAGAAGCGTACAGGTTACTGGACTTTACAAACAGCGAACAAAAGTAAGGAGTTTAAATTGAACCTTTGAAAATCGTTGCTCGGTTAGCAGCAGGAATACCGTATCCAATTCTGCGCACCGCGCTATAGAAAGGGACGTCAGAGCGTTGGAGAGACTGCGGAGGATATCTATTAGGATGTTGGGAGATTTTAGTCATGTGGCGAGACTGGAGAAGCCGGGACCGTTCAGCCTTAGAGCAGTGATTTCAGATTAAACGCCCTCTGAAGACGTAAAGCTATCGATAGTTCTCCCGGTCGCAGACCATTTTTTTCGGGGAGAAAATGACCGATCAGGAATGGAAATCAGGTTGTCGTTTATAAGCAGTCTGTTGTTTCCCCTCCTTCAGCAAGGATCTTCTTCGAAGCTCGTCACAGCCAGATATCCCCTCGTATGAGATTGTGCACCTCTCCCAAATACCAAAACATCGCAAGTATAATTTGCGGTATTAATTAACACATCAGTTACAGAAATCCTCCACCTTAGAACAGAGGTATAAGATAATTGGCAAAAGGACCAGAGGTGAGATGAGGAGAATGTGTTTTTATATATCCAGAGAAGTGGGTATGATGTGGAATGCATTGCCTGAAAGGGTGGTGGAAAACAGATGCGATCACAGCTTTCAAAAGGGAACGGGAGAGCTTCTTGACAAGGAAAATAAAAACTGCGGGTCCGTGAGATAAGAGCGGATCATCGGGACCGAGTCGGTGGTTCTTTCTAAGAAGCTCAACAGCGCAGATACGATGAGCCGAATTGCCTCCTTCTGTGCTCTAACATTCTGTTATTCTATGTAAGAGATTACCCATCCCCTGAGCTATACCCTCTAATCCTTCCTCTCGCATCCGCTTTCTATCTATCTTTAATCTCGCTTGTCGATTTACGTCTCTAACTGCTCCTGTGGTCACCTTGCCCCATACCCTCGCCCCTCCCGCCACCCCACCACCACCCCCAAACCCCCTCGCCAACCCCTTCCCTTGCTTTGCAGACAATGGGAATGCGTGTAGCGCTCCCAGGCGTTATCCTGTGCGAAGGGAACTACGTAAATGAGGGTTGTTGTTGTTGTTGTAACAGTCTTTTCGATCGAATAATCAGGAGAGCAAATTCCATTCCATTCCAACCACTGCCAAATATCCATGTGCCAACGGCGCAGGTGGAACCGTAGAAATATCCGCTTCAGTTGATGGCTGTGGTGTCTGTGCTGCTCTGTTGAAGTGCAATCATTTCAGTGGTGTTTACCTGTCCACAGGAGGAAGCCCATCGCTGTGCTTTAGATTGCTGAGTTGTCGCTGTGAAACTGGTTTGAATATTCCTCAGCATGATGATGAGTTTCCCCGTCTGTTGGACACCCGGTGACAAACAAAACCTCTCTCGCTTGAACGATCACGATTCAGTCACTGACAAGTGTTCTCTCTGTGTCTACCTCACAGGTTCCTTTTCCGCTCAGGAAAATGTGAATATCGTCCACATCAGCCTGGCGATCGCAGTGTCTCTGCTAATTGTTGTCCTGTTCGTGGTCGAATGCAGACCAATAAAAGAAGACAACAGTCAAGAGAGGGTCATTGAAGAAACGACCTTACCTTCCCACTGATCTCCTCAAAGCTCTCAGAATCCAGCTCGTCTCCAGCTTATCCTCTGTCTCAGGCCACAGTATCTTTCTCCCGTGATATAATTTCCTGCCTTTGCCTTTGCCTAAACAACTTGATCGATTCATTTAGCCCAGGGAACCTAACATGGCCTCCAACAGTATTCCAGGGAACCTACCATGGCCTCCAATAATAGCCCAGGGCACAGACCATGACCTCCAACAATAGCCCAGGACACTGCCAACATGGCACCTCCTCCAACAGCGCACCAGGCTGCACGGCTGGCAACCCAATACCCTGACCTCCAACAAATTGCCCAGGGCACGTGAGAGAAAGAAAAACTATGTGTGTGCGAGAGAGAGACAGTGTGTGAGAGAGCGAGAGACTGTGGGTGTGAGAGAGAGAGACTGTGTGTGTGAGAAAGTCGGACTGTGTGTGTGTGAGAGAAAAAGAGACTGTGTGTGTGAGAGAGACTGTTTGTGTGTGGGAAAGACACTGTGTGTGTGAGAAAGAGAATGTGTGAGAGAGAGAGAGAGAATGTGTTTGTGTGTGTGACAGAGAGAGAGAACGTGTGTGTGTGTGTGACAGAGAGGGAGACTGTGTGTGTGTGTGAGAGAGAGGGAGACTGTGTGCGTGTGTGAGAGAGAGAGAGACTCTGTGTGTGTGTGTGTGTGAGACGGAGAGAGAATTTGTGTGTGTGAGAGAGAGACTGTGGGGAGATGTCTGTGTCTCTGTGTCTCTGTATCTCTGTGTCTGTGGCTCTCTGTGTCTATGTCTCTGTCTCTGTGCCTGACCCCCCCCTCGCCCCCACATCCGAGGGCTCTGAGCCGCGCGGCATGCTGGGAGCTGTAGTTCCCGGGAGTCTGTGGCTGTGATGGTGACAGAGAGAGTGAGTCAGTGTGAGAGAGATAGCGACTGACCTGCGGACGTCATGTTTCTCTCTTTCCCTCTCTCTGTCTCTCTCTCTGTCACTCTCTCTCTCTCCCTCTCTGTCTGTGTAACTGCTGCCGCCGCCATTGCCCTTTGTCTCTGTCTCTCGCTCTCTCTCTCTCTCGAGCTGCCGCCCACGGTCTCCGGGCACCTGACGCCATGACGCTTTCAGGATGCGCTCGAGCCGACGTCAGCACGTCCATTCGTCTCGGTGTACGTGTGTGTTTGTGTGTGTGTGTAGCTGTGACAGCACGTACGGCACCGCCACCCAGTGCTCGCCTCCATTGTGTACGGCGCCGCAAACCCTGCGCCGACGGCCATGTTGTACGTCGCCGCAAACCCACCGCTGACCGCCATGTTGTACGGCACAGCTTCTCCGCTGTGTGGCTCTCAATCTCTTTCTCTCTCTCACGTATTGACCTTTAGCGCTTCCAACCAATTTAGTACCTACACTCTGTTCATTCATTTCTTATTTGTCCTGCTGCTGCGAGGCGCCTATTAGACAACAACAACAAAATTATATTTATAGACGCCACTCACGATGGGAGGACGTCCCACAGCGCTGAACATTCAGGTGTCGGGGCCCGAGCAGGGGGGCGGAGTGGGGGTGTGCGGTTGGTTAGGGCGGAGTGGTGGGGGTGAAGGGTGGGGGGAGGGATCCTTTAGAGTTGGGGCTGATGGTGAAAGGTGGAGGGAGGGGTTCGTGTTGGGGTGGGGAAGCGGTGGTGTAGGGATGGGGGAGTCGTGGTGTAGAGCTTACGGAAGGCAGGGAGATGGGAAGGAGACCAAAGGCACGTTCGAACAGAAGGGATTAGATATCGGCTTTCAAGGAGGAAATTGAGGAAACGAGGAGAAGGGATCGTGGGATGGAGTTTCAGAGTGTGGTGGCAGAGTGGCTGAAAGCCCGTGCACAGATGGTCGGGCGTGAGACATGGAACGGACCGGAGCATGAAGAACGGAGAGAGCGGGCCAGTTGGTAGAGAGTCAGGAGGTCAGAGAGGTAGGAGGGATCAAGGCCACGGATGTCCTTCAAGGTGACGACGAGTAACTTGAACTCGATCCTCTGGGGGACGTGGAGCCAGTGTAGTCGGGCGAGGCAGACAGTGATGGGGTCAAGGAGCCAGGTGCGCGAAAATACACGAGCTGCATAGTTTGGGGTGATCTGCAGCTTGTGAAGGGAAGAGTTCGGAAGGCCGACGAGGAGCGAGCTCTCGTAATCAGGCCTTGAGTTGACGATTACGTGGTTGAGGGTTTCGGCAGCCTGAGGGGTGAGACAATGGCGGAGTCTGGCAATATTACGGAGGTGGTGGTCGGCAGTGCCGGAAAATGCGCGGATGTGGGAGAAAAAGGACAAATCAGGGTCAAACAAGATGCCCAGGTTCCTGACTGGCTCAGTGAGGTTGAGTGTGCAGACGTGGAAGCTGATGATGCCAGGGCTTCAGAAGCGGAGGCGATGGCGCGAAGCAATCAGGAGGATCCTGGTCTTGCTGATGTTGAGATGGAGAAAGTTCGCCCTCGTACAGGACTTGATGTCGGACAGACAGTCGGTCAGGACGCCAGTAATTCACGAGATCAGCGTGCAAGCAGAGAGTTGCAGTTGGGTGTCATCCGCATACCTGCGGTTATTGACCCCATTGCTGCGGATGACGCCACCAAGAGGGAGAGTGAAAAAGAGGGGACAGAGGTCAGAGCACTGAGGAACACCGCACAAGACAATGCAGGTGCTGGAAGAGAAGCCGTCTGCCTCGACGTAGTGGTGGGGTTGTGAAGGTTCGGACCTGAACCAGTCAAGAAGAGAAGCTTGAAAGATGGTCCACTGAGTCAAATGCGACGGAGAGATCGAGAGTGACGGGGAGGCAGAAAGAGCCCCGGTCACACATGATCAGGATGTCGTTTGCGATTTTGACCAGAGCAGATTCCGAAACCCGCCTTGTGGGGATCACGGGGGGAGTTAGAGAAGAGGAAACAGCGAAGTTCGGTGGCAACGGCACTCTCAAGCTCCTTCGATAGAAAGCGGAGACTTGAGATAAGCCGGTGCATAAATAGCTGTGATGGGTCGACGGAAGGTTTCTTGAAATTGTGGTTGACAGTGGCTGTTTTGATGGGGGAGGGAACATTGCAAGATGACAGGAAGCGTTTAATGATGTCGGCGAGTAGTGCGGCAAGAGGAGGGGAATGGATGGGTCGAGGGAGCAGGTGGTGCACTTCATGGAGGTTACCGTGTTGAAGACAGAGGAGGGGGTGACAGGATCAAAGGTGCAGAAGTAGGGATGGGAAATCTAAAGCGCAATTGTGTGGGGTGGGAGTAAGGAGGGTTTGGAAATTGGGAGGGCAGTGGCAGCTGAGCGCAGTCCCTTGATTTTAGACTCGAGGTAGTCAAGCATTTCCTCGCAGTGAGAGTCAGAGGAAAGTGTCTGCGAGGCTTCTAGGGGTTGGTGAAGGAGCCGGTCAGTGGTGTAGAATAGG